GTGTTTTTACTCTTTGAGTGGGTAAATGAAATGCTTTGCCAATGGAATGAGTATTTTTACTCTTAAAAGAAGTTATTTAGATTAAATGCACTTAAAATAAGACAATGCAATTGTGTTTTCTTATTTTAAATGTAAATTGTCTTGTTCCATTGGCAAAATATATCTTTTACCTCCTCAATCCAAGAGCAAATGCACTTATTTTAGGAAAAAATAACTTATCTAGATTTAAATTTTTTCCAGTGTATTGCATTGTCTTATTTCAAGTGCTTTTTATCTAATTATCTTAAAAATACTTATTCCATTGGCAAATTACCTCATTTATCTACTAAAATTAAGGGTAAATACACTTAATTTAAGAAATTTTTACTTATTTCTACATCGTTTTTCCAGTGTAGCAGAACCATGCTTGATCTTAAATAACCCTATCCCCAATAGACAATCAGAACTCGAAGTAAAATACGCCCCCTGGTGGCGACAAAAACACAGGAGAGGACAAATGGCTCCTACACGCTAGCCCCTAATTGAGTGTGGCAGTAAACATAGCAATTGTCAAACTTAAATTAAAGGAGCCACAAATAAAGATATGTTTAAATATACATAAGAGGCAAATCAAGTTTATGCATTCATTATTCTGCCAGTTTAACAGTTTGTAGCTTCATATAATGGACAAATATTTGTCACAGGTCTTTCAATAATGTTTACTTTTGTTTGCATCAGACCCTTTTTAATCTGGAAAACTTTTAATAACTTTTCCTTATATCCAAGATCCTCAAGGTGTTGTTGAGTCCATAACTACCACCTTTTTTTTCTTTATCCATTTTTGTCATTCTTGTATTAATGGTAGATATTCTCCAATCCAACGTTTCCAAAATATATCTCGAATGTATTGGATTTGTTATATCGCATCGACCAGAATAAGGAAATGATTCATAATGAGTTTTGTCCGTATCGCCCAGCCCTGGTCAACATAATCTCTCTGTTCATTATAAAACAAACTCTATTCGCTAATATGAAACATGGTAGTGGCAGCATGATGCTGTGGAGATGCTTAACTCTACAGGAAACGAGGAAATTGTTCAGTTTATGGGAAGATGGAGGAAATGCAATAATTGGAGGTAGTTGAAGAAAATTCATCCAGCTTTCTGCAAAAGAAAAACACTAAACCTGAAAGGTTTAAAGTGATGCATCAGTTTCTAAGAGACATGTACTTCTTCGTGTTTGTTGGTCTGTTGTATAAATTCCCAATAAAAAGTACTGAAGTGGTTTAATCACTTTAAGCAATTTTCCCATTAGAGAAAGAAATCTGTGCCAAACTGTTAAATAATGCCGTCTTTAATCTCAGCCTGAACAATATTGGCTCCACATCAGAGCGGCTTTTCATGCGACTCCTCCAATTGTTCCTTTGCTCTACTTTGTTTGTTTGCTTCTTCCAACTTTTATTGTTAGGAATTATAAAGAAGAGGAAGCAGAACCGGTTTATAAAAGAAGCCAAATGATAAACAGTCTTTCTTTATTTGAAGCTACAAACGTTGAACAGAAATCAAAAGATTAAGCGTGTTACCTAATAGGCTTGACTTTGTTTTACTGCAGATCACAGAATATTCTCCATAAAATCCCTTTTTTGATCTGATTCTGTTGTCCTTATCTGACAGTTATTAATGCTACAACCCTTTAGGAAAGATATATTGCTTAAATCAGTTCATACAATACTAGTTTCTCAGATATTTATTTAAAGTTTTTTAGTGCAAAAAACATATCAAAATCTAATCATAATTAAAAAAGGTTTTATTCACAGAACATCCGTCCTGATAGAGCAGGGGTGCTCAAGTCCAGTCCTTAAGAGCTAATATTCTGCAACTTTTTGATGCACCTCATTTTTATCACACCTGAATCAAACGAGTTGCTTGTTGCCGCGCCTCTGCTGGGCTAATTGAGGGGTTGAGCCTTTCCATTCAGGTGTGTTAGAGAAGAGATGCTTCTAAAAGTTACTGGATGGTAGTTCTTTAGGACTGGATTTGAGTACCCCTGAGTTTAATAGTTTAATACCCCATTTCCACTAACCTTGAAAAACCGATCCATGCCGAGAACTGTCCGAGCTCGGATCAGTTAACCAGGCCGAGCTCGGTTCTGACGACCGTTTACACATCACGCTATCTCGATTCCTCGCCTCCTAGTGACGATCTGCGGTATTACTGCCAGTATTGTTTGCCAACCGCCATAAAACACAAGAAGAAGAAGACGAAGGAGGGAATCAAGCAAATCAAAATGGCGGCGCCCGTCACATTCAGAAAGTTATGCTTGATTATTATTGCCGTACTTCGGTGTTTGCGGAGGGTCATTCGAAGACGGCAACCTTTCGTAGATGTTTATAGTTGTTCTTCTTCTGTTTTGTGTTGGTTTGCAAGCAACTTCCGGAGGGGCATTACCACCAACTACTGGAATGGAGTGTGAATCGCGATGTGCAGCCAGACGGAGATGACGCGTTCTGCTCATGCGCTCTTGTTATCAGAGAACCGAGCCATGGAAAAACCGAGCCGAGCCCACCTCTGGAACTGGTCTGCAGTTAGCTCGGTCCGGTTCTGTCTAGCTCGGTTCAGTTCAGTTTGCTTTCCATTTACACACCATAAGTTATCTCAGTTACTGAGCTCGGACCGGTCTCGGCACGGTTTTTCAAGGGTAGTGTAAATGGGGTAAATATCGCCCTTTTTAAGCCTAAATGGAACCCCAGCACCCGGTGCAATGAGCAGACATAAACGGATGTAGCGCCATCTGCTGGCAGTACACCGCACTATCAGAAAGCCAGACGGCTACTGCCAAATTTACCCCTTTCCCACTGGCCAAAAAACCCTTTAATCTCAGGAACAATGGGGTTTTAGTGGCAGTGGGAACAGCTCCCTGACGCATGTCCACCTGGGTCAAACGACTCGCCAAGCGACACACGTTAAATTAACCTGGGCTCTGATCAACATGCTTTGGGAACACCACTCCTGCATCGATTGGCTAATTTACGTAATGCTACTGAATGCGATTTAAGGACGTCCCTCAGCGGTCTGATCTAACCAGCAGAAACACCTCTGTTTAAATTTTATTAAATGGAGCAGCTTTGGTGAGAGGGATTCAGACAGATAATGGAGCGAAAACATTAAAGCTCACTAACTTCGTCCTGGCTTCCTCACATATTTCTCTCCATTGTTTACTTCCCTGATTTCCATAGCAGTGTTGACATCAAGGTTTATATGCAACCAGAGTCAGGTACTGGTGAAAAAAAAAATTAGAAAAATGTTAAATGAATCGACTATACCTCTTCAAGAAAAACGTTTTCTGCCAGTTATTATTTTGTTTTGTCTGTGAATGAAGGAAATACTTGCAAGGACCAAATAAGGTCCAGATCAAAAGTAATGATGAGATAAAATAGATTACTGTTAGATGGTATATTGGAAGTAGATGATTGAATTGGGGAAAAATGCTTTTCCAGTTTTTATTCTGCAAAGGTTGACCTCTAAACAGAACTAAGACAAAAAAATGTGAGATGATGGTGAATAATTGGCAGAAAAACAATTAAAACCCCAAAGTCTGCTAGAAGTGTCTCTAACTGCATTTTCCCAGGTTTAGACTAAAGGACCTCTATGGATTCAAGTATGAAAATAGTGTTGGATTTTATTTTTTTTATTAGCTTTCCTATAAAAACAACGAAAAAAACTAAACAAAACAAAACACTACTCTGTTCTAAATAAAACTGTTCTAAATAAGTAAATATTTCTAAAAATAAGTGTTTGCCCTTAATCTAAGCAGGTGAATTAGATGATCTGCCAACAGAAGGTGAATTTTTGCCATTAAACCACATCATTCTATATTATCAGATTTAACCTCTTACACCCTAAGGGGGTATAAATAAATTTCTGCCTGACAAAACACACAAAAGTAAATCACTTATAGCCTCACAGCTATTAGATTTAAGAAGAAACTTTTGGTACGTCTGTAAAGGTAAGATGTCATAGAAT